AGGAAAGAGAAACATTTTCAGTTCAAATAAAAATCTGAACATATCATAATAATCAACATTAATGATGTAACCTACACTTTATCTATAAAGTTTAATATAAATCTAACCAAAACAATTTTCAATCAGACACGCCATGCCATATAAACATGGAAATAACCATTTATAGAAGGAAAGAGAGAAACATTTTCAGAAATATCTGAAAAATATCATAATACAATTGAAACACAACAATCTATAGTACGAAATTATAACAAAACAATTTTCAGATCAGACACATGTATAAACATGCAATCAACCATTTCTTCAATGCTGAAGGAAAAAACATTTTCAGTTCAAATAAGCTAAATCTGAACATATCATAATAATCAACATTATTGATGTAAACAACAGTTTATATTTATAGTATTCAGACTCAAAATTTCTTAATGCTGAAGGAAAGAGAAACATTTTCAGTTCAAAAAGCTTAAATTTGAACATATAAATCAACATTACTGGTATTTATCTATAAATAAATAAAATAAACCAACAAACAATTTTCAGATCAGACACGCCATGCCATATAAACATGGACGAATCAACCATTTTCAATGCTGAAGGAAAGAGAAACATTTTCAGTTCAAATAAGCTAACTGAACATATCATAATAATCAACATTATTGATGTAACACAACAGTTTATCTATAGTACGAGTTTAATTATAAATATAACCCAATAAACAATTTTATTATCAGAAAATGCCATCCATGGACGAATCAACCATTTTCTTCAATGCTAAAAGGAAAGAGAAACATTTTCAGTTCAAATAAACAAAAATCTGAACATATCATAATAATCAACATTATTGATGTAACAAAACAGTTTATCTATAGTACTTTTTAATTATAAATATAACCCACAAACACCAGATCAGACACGCCATGCCATATAAACATGGACGAATCAACCATTTCTTCAATGTTTTATTCAAATTTAAATCTGAACATACGCAATAATCAACATTATTGATGTAACACAAACAGTTTATCTATAGTATATTATAAATATAACCCACAAACAATTTTTCAGATTGCCATGCCATATAAACTGGACGAATCAACCATTTTCTTCAATGCTGAAGGAAAAGAAAACTTTTCAGTTCAAATAAAGAAATCTGAACATATCTAAATAATCAACATTATTGATGTAACACAACACTTATCTCTATAGTACGAGTTTAATTATAAATATAACTACAAAACAATTTTCAAATCTATACGCCATGCCATATTTCAACCATTTTATTCAATGTAGAGAAACATTTTCAGTTCAAATAGAAATCTGAACAATTAATAATCAACCATGTAACAACAACACTTTATCTAAAATGAAATGTGTCAAACTATATTGCAGTAGACTTTCAGACCAGTCGCTAAAGGAAGTCCCATTTGACAAACAGCTAAAAAATAGGCTAAGATATCATTTTGCCGACAAGAATAATTTCTCTCTCCTAAATATATCTTGCTTAACACGTCAGCAATCTAATGAAACACCTTTTCAGTTGTCTTATTAGAACAATTACGACAAGTTCGTTCCTCAGCAACCCATTCACGTTTGAAAATCAAACAGCATGTTCTAACGTTCCGCTGAAAAAAAGACGTCAATAACGGAATCAAAGCAGCCCGCATACATAATATTCAAAAGGAAAGACGGAAACCATCGCGTTCATAGACCTAGCTGTTGTGAATATAACCTACTGAGATCCACAAACTTGAAAGATTCCATCAAATGAAACATCGTCAAATCTTGCGGAACGTATGGCAGGACCGGATCACAAACAAAGAAGTACTCCTCCGCGCAAAGATGTAGAGCCAAGAAACCATGATGACGTGTGTGTGTGTGTGTCTTTAGCGTGTGTCCGTGCAAAAATGGGTGGCAAGAGACGACGTGAGCTCTGTGTGATTCAATGATGCTCAAAACAGCACAGGAATCGATTCGGTCAATTGGAAAACGGAAGCTGCAGAAAGCACCAATTGGAGAAGAGCAGTCAACGAAAAAAAAAAAACAAGCATATCTTTCGAAAACACCAGAAGACAAATAGAAGAAATGAAGGGATACAAAGAAAAGCCCGAGCCTTCCATTCCCTGAAACATCCTAGTTGCGGACGCCTGGATTCAACATAGGACTGACACAGAGATGGAAACGAAACCCTTTAAAGAGTTCAATGATGTAAAATAGATCCATAATACAACCTCATTCAGTAACCTTTTACCTTAAATAGTTCTTTTGTCCTTGGAATGATGATAAAACTACAGGCAGATATTGGAGGCTTTGAAAAACAAATTGATGGATTACACACGGGGTGGTAGTACCTGTTAGCGTGCTATTTATGGGAAAATAGTGAAATCCCAAACACAAATCAACAGTACATTTTTATCGCAAAATGACCAATACTATATTCTTATAGCAGAATGACCAACAATATTTTATATATATATATATATATATATATATATATATATAAATATATATATATATATATATATAAAAAAATATATATATATAACTCTAAAAATTATGTTCAAAATATTTAAAATTAAACCCATAGAAGTATTAAATCAGCCAACAACAAACAAACATTTATGCAGAAAAGTTGTCCATGTATTCTTGTAAAGCAGAATAACATATTTTAAAAAAACTTCCAAGAATATTAAACATAAAAATTGATATTCCATTAAATAAACAAATTTATCTTGGACTTTACTGTCCATTTAAAAAAAAACTTACTAGTATTATAAAAGTAGAATAATTATTTTTTATTTACATTTGATATACGCCATGAGCCCGACAGACTTATGAAATAAAACAAAAATCTGATCGAATTTCCAGATTCATGGAAGACCATCAATGAAAACTATTATACACCACGCGACAAACTTAAAAAAATGTAAGATATATTTAGGAGAGAGAAATTGTCTTGTCCGGCAAAATGAAACAATTTTTTTAGTAGCTGACCTAGCAATGGATTCATTGACTTTGAATTTGTGGCCGAGGAAAGAATATCTGTCAAAAGCACGTCAGCGTAAATGACGTGTTCCAAATAAGGATAAATAGGGATGGTAAAATGGGAAAAACCTGAGTACACAGAATTGAAGTGCCGTGACACAGAGATGAAAACGAAATCCTTTCAAAGGGTACGAACATAACTTTCTCCGAACTACAGAAAATTAAACAAATTTACTCATACATTCAGGCCACATTAAATATATATTTATATATTATTTATATTATAAACATAAGAAATGCATTTACAGTATTAAATAACTTTACCACCTTACTGTATCTATAAAAAAGAACGTTAAACATAAAAAATGTTTTTAATAAATAAATTGTCGGACTTTGTCCAATTCTTAATATATATATTTGTTTACATTTGATACGCCAGAGCAGTTATACGAAATCATGGAAAATTGAAGTTTATAAGCAGTGGCCGAGCAGTCACGAAGGCATCACCGTAAATGACGGTTCCGTATAGGATGCAGGTTCGAATCCTGTCAAAGGACGAATATTTTCTATTAAAATTTTCAAAGATTTAATACTGTTTATTATAAACAGGTTGTATCTATAAAAAGAACGTTAAACATAAAAATGTCTTCGTAAATTGTCGGACTTTTATTTCTTAATTCATTTTTGAACAATTTTTCAGAGACACTGTTAGATGGCCAGGAGAGTTAGATGGCCAGGTGTAAGGAGTGATGTCGTTGCAGAACTTATCTGATAGCCATGATTGGGTTCTCTTATGTGGCATGGTGGAGTGTACTGTTGCCAGAAATAGGGTCTTTCAGCAACCACCCCGTTGACCCAGGGAAGCACTTCCTCGTCTAGTCATTTCATTTAGGCCTCTGTGTTGGGTCTGAAGCCCTGTGACAAGATGAATGGAAGCATAACGTCACCATCACTAGTGATCATTCCAAACACCTCCTTAATTACTATTAGACTCACACAACTCTTTCCAAATCCTTAGCACTGTCCTCAGATTGACATCCAAATACTCTGTAATGTCCGTACTGGAGCTTCCGGTGCGAAAAACAAACAGTACAGCATGCAGTTTGCGATTTTCTGGCGAAGGGAATTGCGCCACGGTCTTCTTTTTTTCTCACAGAGGCTGCCCAACTGTCTCTAATATACTATGCAGTCGAAAATATCAAAAACAAACAATACGCATGCGCGAAATTAAAATAAAAAAAAATGACGACAATTTACCCATCGTACCCTCTAATATGTTACTATGGACCGATTTGCTTACATGAACATGTCGTATAGACAAAAAATGTTTTAACAGTTTCCTCTGGCAGTGAACATGCCCGTTGGCTATTGATTTTGAAACGGCTACTTGACAAACGTTCTTAACGGGGAACAAGCATTTCTCTCACCGGTAGAATTTAAATACTAAATACAGATTAATCATTAATTAAGCTGTTTATATTAAGCATTACCGAATTGAACTGGAAGATATTGGCATCTGAAACTATTTTAGTTTCACCTGCGTTCGCCTAAATTACTTTACATACGTCTTATTGCTTCTGAGATTTGGCAGCTAATTGGACGTAATCAAGTTGGAGTCCCCCATTAGTTTGTCTTTCACGTCAATATTCAACAAACTTTGTCTCGTTAGGCAAAGGGCCAAATGGTGGAGATGGCGATTTTGTAGTTTTTTTTTTCGAGTAAAAGCTCACACAATACAAGGCCCAAGAGCCACCAGAAGTAGATTTATTCTTTCATTTTCTATACCTTATCAACACATTGCAGGTTATTTAAACCCAGAAGAAAAAGCTTGTGAACACACTGGAGTGGTACAATTTCTACTAATTAATCAAATGGTTGGTGGCGACATAAGGTGGATTCCTACCTTTTCCAAGGGTGTTTGTGCGTAAGTGGATATAACGAACCCAACTGGAATTGGAGCTCGGCTTTCCGATTAACAATTTCGAGCCGTTATTCATTACACCATCCGCACATCCAAGATTACAGCACTTGGAATTCCCAAGCGGTTACCCGTCTAGGTACCAGGCTAAAGGTTGCTTAACTTCGGTGATCGTACGAAAACCGGTATTTCCACGTTATATGGTCACATGTGATTGATAGATTGATTCATTTTCTACGGCTTATCAAACCTTTTCAGGTTATTTAAAGCAGAACTTTTTTTTTTAGATTGTAAGAATTTGGAGGGGGGGAATAATAATGGTATAGTGATGTAAATCTTACTAATTAACCCATAGCTGAAGAGAGAAAAGTTGGAGTTATATCTTCCGTAAGTTAATATAACGAACATGACTGAAATTAGAACTAATTCTCAGATTAACAATTTCGAGCAATTTTACCTTACACCACCCACACATCCAAGCTTATAGCACTAAAAGTAAAGGTTTATATTATCTGTCTATATTTCTGAGATTAGGTATTATGTACACTATTTACATTGTTTGGACTATGATCTTCATCTTTGTTGTCATATTTATCACAACGTTTCGGTCGTTGACGCTCCGGCCTTCTTCAGATGGTTGGAATGTCGAACGCTATTCTACTCACTGGGGTAGACTGTTCTAGTTCCACGCGCCATGTCTAATGGATGTCAGTTACCTCCTGTTAATTCCATTCTCAAAGTTTTCAAGAACATATGGCACAGTGGATAAAGGCGTTAGTTAGATCCAGTGACAGGATCCAAAGAGTGTGAGTTCAATATCTGTCATTTACCCACCATAGAGAAACCTATACCCAGTCTTTTTCCTTACTTACACTCTTACAGGAGGAAAGCCAGTATAGTGTTTTTTTTATAGTAGAGAAAGACGGTGCACTGGGTTAAACTCACTCCCAGAGTATAAAAACAATAAAAAAAGTGTACTTTTGCTAGTGAACCTGTGTTACACAATCATTTACTTCCTAGTCCAAAGGTTCTAACACTGCCAGTGGTCTGTGTGTTAGATGGAGGGTGAGCCCCCAAAAAGTTATATCCGACCACTGATTGGTCATTTAATCCTGCTATGTGCTTAGTCATCCAGCTCACTAACAAATCCGGTTGGAAAAATCGGTCCAGTTGCTAATAACCCAACCATATGGTAAGTATTAATAGATTACTTGGTATTGGTGCCATTCGTAGAATAACTGAAGTGATCATTTCTGGCATACGGCCACATAGTTTCCGTACGATCACCGAAGTTAAGCAATGTCGAGACTGGTGAGTCCCTAGATGGGTGATCGCTTCGGAATACTGCGTACCGTTAGCTTGGATGTGCGGGTAGTGTAATGGCTAATAACTCGAAATTGTTAACCGGAGAGCCGAGGTTCAATTTCAATCGGGTTCGTTATATACGCTTACGCGCAAATGCCCTTGGGAAAGGTATGAATAGAGCTCTTCACCAACCACGGGTTAATTAGCAAAACTTTTATCACTAAATCATTATTATCTAAAAAAAAAATTATAATCTAAAATATTTTCTGTCTTTAAAAAATCCTGTTATGGGTTGATAAGCCGTAAAAAAACGAATCCATCAATGAAAGATCACTTCTTTTGCTTTACATATCAGGTCCTGTGCATTACCTTTTGAGCAGGTAGATATTATTACCTTTGTCATTTAATACATCTTATCCAACTTTACCTGTGTTTATCAGTCTATTTCAACCTGTTCTTATCTATCTACTGGAAGTTCCTGTGAAGAGTACCGTAAGTCCATAAGTTTTACAGGGGCATCATATGCACTGCAGCTTTGGCAATAGTGGTTATCTGGGATATAATTGCCTCCCTTTTTCTTTTTTTTAATTAAAAATTTTCCTTCTCCTAGTCAGACTGCCACCTCCAGGCTAGAGAGCCCAGACTGCTTTGTTATTTAACAGGAAGAAGATGGATGCGTACCTCTCCCAAGGGCATTAGCGCGATGTGAACAAAACAGAATCAACCGGAAATTGAATTCAGCAGGACGATTTCACTTTCCATGCCAATAACTGTTACACTATTCGAACATCCCCTATTACAGATTATCCATATTCATCCGTCTTAATCCGTTAATCTCGCTCATCCCGACTTCGCTTTTTACATCTCTTTGAAAAGCCCACCTGTAAAAATACTTCTTTTGAAAGTTGAGCGCTCGTCTTTCTCAGATGTTATGGTCCCTTCTTCACATGCGTTTTGAAAAGTTTTCTAAATACTTCCGAACTGAAGCTTGAAATAATAAAAGCCGCAATATAAGAGCCTAAAGACATATTCAAATATCTTCACAAGGAATTGTTGGAATGAAAGTTGAAAATATATTACGAATTTCCTCATCTTCCTAAATTTTGTTCGTATATAGGAACACAGGTACGTAATACTAATCGCTATCTTTTCTTTTTGTGTGCCATGTCCTTTCAGGACGTAGGCGATCATGGCTCTCCACCTCCTTCTATCTCTTGCAGCTCTCAAAAAGTTCCTTCCCTCGGCTTCCTCCCCCAGACCACGTTCTGTCATCCACTTGCTGAAGCCCGCCAGGTATATCATGCGTTGTTTTCCCTTGTCTCTCTTTCAAACACTTTAAAAAAAGAACCCTCTAAGTAAGACCTACAATAGGAAAATGATTAAGATTAGCTAATCCCGTAACAACAACATGTATAAAATTATTAACTCATGCAATAACCATATTTTAAGTAGTTTACATAGGACAAACAAAATACCTGGAATTGCCCCCCTGTATTTGCAGATCTAACACACACACACACACACACACACACACACACATACACACACACATATATATATATCTATATATATATATATATATATATATATATATATATGATTGGTGTATACGGAATAAATTCCAATAACCAACAATTACTATTCTTAAAAGATTGCTCAATACAGAGTAGAGCGATTTTAATTATTTATTTAAAAATTATAACATAAATATGTTATAAAATCACTACAAAAATAATTTGTTTCAACCCCTCTGGGGTCTTATCAAGTGATGATGTTGAATATATATATATATATATATATATATAGGTTTTTGATATCGCTATTAAAGGAAGAGAGAAAATTAACGTGTTGATATTTATTCCGAATCCTTTCGACACTAGCACAATGTCACCATCAGTGTGTTGCTTTTTCTAAGACAAATATTGTAATGTTCATCATTTTTTTAAGTTAAAATTATTGTGTTCATTGGAAAGTTAGAATTTTTACAATTGAAGTGAAATTATGAGCTGTACGATTTAGCTTGGTGTAAAGTGTAAATGAACTTATGAGAATCTGAGTATTTTTTAAGTATTAAAAACTATTAGTACAAACCTAGATATTTTAAACTATCTAATGTAAACATTATAAAACATTTGTGAAGTATTCATGATTAATTTTATTATGGGTTGGTTGCAATAGTTTAATATAGCTAGCTTGAAGGATTTTTATTATTTTCATGAAAAAGTATAGCTGTATTTTCGACGAGAATTTTTCTAAATCGCGAATGTGGACAGGCATGCTGTTGATGACATTGTGCTAATGCCGAAAGTACTCGGAATAGTTGAATATGTATCAACACAATAACTTTCACTCTTCCTATAATAATGTCACCAGAACGTTTGCCGTGAATATCAAAGGATCCAGCTCAAAATAAGTTGACAAAATTTGCATAAATTATTCATTGAAACATGTCTCAACGAAAACATGCTGCCAAATTATACGCAATACAAACATACATACATACATGCATACATACATATATATATATATATATATATATATATATATATATATATATATATGATCAAAAAAATTATCGGGAGTGTTGCTATAGAAAGACTACCACAATATCCTTTTGATTGAAGGGAGCATTGCTGGATTTCCTTCTTTTTTTATTTCTTCGACGTCTTGAAATCTTGTTTCTTTCAAGCCGGATTTTATTTTTGAAGAGGCAAAACTGGCAAAGGGTGTGTTCTGAGAATATGGTTGGTGTCGGACATAGGGAAGGTTGTACTTACCCAAAAACTAATGCACAAGCCAAGGTCACTGATGGAAAATTTGTGGTGTAGGGAGATAATCACATTCTACACACTTTCCTTACAATGCCTACTATAAACAAAGGAAGTGAGCGGGAACTTTTGTATCCGGGAGTTCAAATTAAATCTGTACGAAGGGAATTCTTAAGGCGACCTTTAGTTCCATTAGCAATAGTTCCGATAGTTTTTTTCATCAAACCATGTGTATCTTCAGTGATATATATATATATATATATATATATATATATATATATATATATATAATGAAATAATAATGCGAATTAATATAATAAATAATTAATAGTCCAACTGTTAATGTAGCATAAAATAATAATGCTAGCAATTAATATAAGTGCAATTTTAAAATTTGACATATCAAATTCAACATAATTTACGCTCATAAATTGCTCAATATCAAGCTAGATCGATAATTATTAAATTAGATATAATAAAGTTCCATCTTTTTTTCAGTCACTCATGGGAACATTTAAGTCCTGACAAGTGATTAAAAAAATTGATTATATATATATATATATATATATATACAGAGAGAGAGAGAGAGAGAGAGAGAGAGAGAGAGAGAGAGAGAGAGAGAGATACGTAAAGGTTAATTTTAATGGATACTCATATTTAAGTAGATTGTCTGGTATTATTTATATATTATTATTTTATATTTTTGAATATTATTATGTATTTATTTCCATCTACCGGTCTGAATATTCGAGAAATACTTTTAGACAAATATACACATCTTTTATTGACATATTTAATACTACTAATAATCATATATATATATATATATATATATATATATATATATATATATATATATATATATATATATATATCACATCTTTAGCTGACATATATTTAATAATACTAATTATGATTTATATCACAACCTTTACTGATATATATATTTAATGATGCTCATAATCATATATATATATATATATATATATATATATATATATATATATATGTCATTCGCAGACAGTACTGTTTCGTTGTATCACTGCTCCTCAGTGTGACTATACGTCCAAAAGCCTCAAGCCGATAGAAACTCGACCCCTAAGCCATCAGCACTCAGCCTATATATATATATATATA